ACACTGGAAATTTAGTGGATTTTTTCTACATAATTTTGAAAGTTGGTCTTTATTTCGATTAAATATTTCTAAGTTTTATTGTGTGTTCGACGTTCCCGCCAAAATGTTACAGAACAAAGAAACTCAAGGTAGGGTGATTTGGTAGGGGTGATCCGACTCAGATCACCCCTGTTAGAATGAAGGAGTTGGGATGTAAGATTAAATAGTATCACTGATAGGTGAACTAGATTTGTTTTACATGTAGATTCACTGTGAAGCATACATGTCTGACAGGGTAACAATGGTGAGACATCACTTTTATTGTTCAACTATCAAGGTTAAGTTTCTGTGATGAGGTCAGTTTACGTTTTTGGTCAGTAGAATCCTTGTAATCTCATTACATGCCTGGAATTTTTCTTAGCTCTTTCATGTTTAGTGATCGAGGTATAATACAGGTGTCAAGGGGCAAAAGATAATAAGTAATAAGTTTTGGATTTGAGTGGATATTAATTGTGCATCAAATTAAAATGGTGTGTATCTTATTATATCAGTAGATGGGTAATTTTGTATTTATACTATCAATTAAAGTTAAAAAATGTAAAATTTGTTAAATTGTTTGGTAGGTCTCCCAATGCTCAACTGTTCTATTATTTGTTTGGTAAGTCTCCCAATGCTCAGATGTTCTTTTATTTGTTTGGTAAGTCTCCCAATGGTCAGATTTTCTTTTATTTGTTTGGTAAGTCTCAGATGTTCTTTTATTTGTTTGACATCTTTTATTTTGTCATTGGTGGGTTTACTTACTGGTCAATATTTGACACTTTTACATTTTAATTTTGAGTTCTGCTTACAAGAAATAAAATTTTGAGATGTTCTTCAATTTTGAACTTGTTATCTTATTATTTGAATTGCATTTTTCTCAAGTTTTGAAGGGATGTTTTGTCATGGGGTTTCTTTTGATTGGAGTTAACATTCGATACATTTAGTTTGATCAGCACCTACTTTATCAAGTATATAGAAATCTTCAATTTAAAGATTTCAACGACAACTGGTCATCAAAGGTAGATTGTTATTTTTATCTTTTCTTTTGCTTTCAAATAAAGACCATGATTTATACATACATGTTGATAGTTTAGTAACCACTCAAAAACAAGTAGCATTACCTGTTTACATATATCAATTTGAAAAACATACAGAAATTAACTTGCAAAGTTCCACAGATCTACATAGGACTTTTTTCTATATGGTTCCAATCTTAAGAAAGCAAAATTTCCAGGACATTTTCTGTGTCTCACTTTACTATACAGATCTTCCACATCCTTTGTCATGCTGTAGTTGTATCTAACTCTGCTAGTCCTTCATTGTTTCATATGAGAAGATGTAAACTTGTGCCCAGGTGGTGGATACCAGTACCGTTCTTGTTTTATCTGTAGGTCGTTCATCTTTCAAGACAGAATAATTTTGTTTTTAATAAAGTTAAAACTGTTGTCATCAAACTTATCGACAGTACGATCATTATTGATGAGACCACGGTTATAAAAAGTAACAAAGTGGACACACGAAGAGAGTGGTTTGAAGAGAGCAGACGTCATTAAACTGAAGCAGAGGGATTAAGCGATTATATGATTAATTATGGTTAAAATGAATGAATATTGGTTTTAGTAAAAATAGTCAAAAAGTATTTCAGATGAATGGACACAATTTGTCGCAAGCTAATGTTGGTCATGTTTGATTCAGTGATAAGATTTCCTTTATGACATCTTATTTTTTGCACTTGGATATAAAAAATGATCTTACGACTAATGAGATACGATATGAAGAAAGCATGTCGCATTTTAATTTGAATTTTCTATTCCAGTCTGACAGAATATTTGCCATATCGGTGTATGATTTAATTTAAGATAGAACTAAGGGACTGCAGGCTGACATCGGCTATTGAATAAGTTGATGTTTTATTAGGTGTGGATGAGGGGCTTCATTACAGTAGAGCAAAATGATTGTTGACGGGTTCGACCCAGAATTGAAAATAAATTGCTAGATATGATGCTAATAAAAAGCCGAATGAAATGATATTTTGAGAAGGGATTTGAATATTGACAAGCTTTTTGATGAGAAATGACAGTTTTCTAATATGGGTGAATCCTCGAGAGCATTCAAGCAAAATTGTTCATATTTTTCAAAATTGATGGAATTTTAGAATGCCAGGAAAATTCTTTCTTGTGTAAATATTATAAATTTCATGCCATACTCATTTCTCATCTGATTTTAACAATACATATCAAAATATTTGAACACTTTATTAAGTGGCAGACATTCAAATCTTGTGGAAGAATTGTAGTGGAAAATGAAAGGAAATGATGAAAAGTGTGCCCTATGGTGATAATATTGTCTATAGACCATTATATTCTCAAGTAGAAAAGAAGGAGAAATGTAATTCAAATAAGCTGTTAAAGGCCATTAAAAATATCAAAACAAATTTTTGTTTACTTTTTTACTGAATATATATATTTCATCTTAAATTATTTTATTCTGGTAACATTAATGTCTCAGAGTATTTCTTAATAGGAAACTCATCAAAAATCTAATAATGAAAATATACAGGTCACCAGATAAAATTTTCATGAAGAAGACAAGCATATACTTATTCAATCTGAAGTTTGTTCAGGTTTGTTCTTAAGGTATAGAACCACTAATTCAGGCCCGGTCGGAAAGAACATACAAGAAAGTAGTACATATTTTAAACAAAATAGTTCCTACGCATAGCTGTATCTTTGTCAATAGTGGGAATATTTGGGTAGTTTTAGTATCAAATGAAAGCTTGGGGACTTGGGGTCACTGTAGAACCCTTGTTGAAAGTTTTATTTGAATAATAAAGAAGTATAGGAAATTTTAATAGGAGGGCTCATTTGGCCTGTTGTTCAGATCAGAAGTTCCTGTTTTTGTACTATCAAACTTCCGGGAACCAGTACGCTCTAATATGCAATTAAAGGTATGTTGATTTTTTCAGCACAAGTCAGCATAAGGTACAGTTTTGACATGAAATAACTGCCACTTTATTTGAACTTAAGATAAAGTAGCCATTTATGCTTGAAATTGCAGAATTTAACATAGAAAGCAATGGGGCTATAAATTAGTGGTTTTATACCTATTACTGACAGGCATGTGAAATTCTATTTTTAGAAATCATACCCTTTACAGTGAAAATTGGTCACATTTGTTGTCAGAAATCATGTTACATTATTTTTTTTATGTAACAATTATGTTAGTGTCAAATTACAGCCCTCAAATTGCTACAATAAGGTATTTTAGCCTTTTTTGGTCATTTAGCATGCACACAGTTAAGATTTTACCTAAAATTAAAATTTTTGGATTATCTAACACTGAAACCAATGAAACTTGTATATCATGACTAGTTTATAGTATAAATATTGTTTTTGGTCAAATTATCTAGTGAGTGTTCATGTATTATTGTGTTTCTTGGTGAATTATTTATTTCAAGGAAAATTGGTGTATACTTATATAGGAATTCCAAAATCTCACTTGAAATGCATTTTATAACCATTTTAGCAAGTTGTCTAGCTTGGAGATACATAAATTGCTTTGTTGATCCATGTTTATACATAAAAGTATGGTTTTTTTACCTAATCACTCTCCTTTTCCAACATGTAGAAAAAAGGGGGGACAAAATTATCAATTATATTTTATGTTTGGACCACTGTATTTATATTCAAGGAAGAATCTCTGATAAAAATAAGACATATAGGTAAGAACACTGTTATTTGAGTAGATATTAACAAATCAGAACTGGTAAAAATTGAAAAAGTGTCATATCTGTCACTATTAGTATCCATATGTAGTTTTCTTTGTTTAACGCATATGTTACTACCAGTCCAATTTGAGCTTGAATTCAGTGATATAGTGTTTTGACAAAAACTTTATGTGTTTTTCTATGCTAGAAATAGATCATAGAAGGAAATTAAGTCAAGCAGAAGTCAATATAACAAGTTTGGTGCTGTTATAGGTATAGAACCACTAATTCAGGCCCGGTCGGAAAGAACATACAAGAAAGTAGTACATATTTTAAACAAAATAGTTCCTACGCATAGCTGTATCTTTGTCAATAGTGGGAATATTTGGGTAGTTTTAGTATCAAATGAAAGCTTGGGGACTTGGGGTCACTGTAGAACCCTTGTTGAAAGTTTTATTTGAATAATAAAGAAGTATAGGAAATTTTAATAGGAGGGCTCATTTGGCCTGTTGTTCAGATCAGAAGTTCCTGTTTTTGTACTATCAAACTTCCGGGAACCAGTACGCTCTAATATGCAATTAAAGGTATGTTGATTTTTTCAGCACAAGTCAGCATAAGGTACAGTTTTGACATGAAATAACTGCCACTTTATTTGAACTTAAGATAAAGTAGCCATTTATGCTTGAAATTGCAGAATTTAACATAGAAAGCAATGGGGCTATAAATTAGTGGTTTTATACCTTAATATAACCATACAACAAACTACTGATTTTAGGGTCAGAGGTCAGCTGAGGTAAAGTAGATAATTAACCTAGACATTCAAGATTAAAGTTCACAGGGACAGGTCAAAATCTTGACCACAGTGTACCATCTTTATTCATGGAACATTGTGTATATTATCACTTCAGTTTTAAGGTCAGAGGTCAAGTGCCAAGGTTAAAATATTGACAAGAAGATTGGTACTTAACTACTAGATCAATCTTCAACTAATTTGAAGGCCATATGGTTGTATATAATTGCTTACATCCATTTTATTTGAACTTTGGTGGATAGTTGTCTCAATGGCAATCATACCTCATCTCCTAATTTTTATATTGTGTGTACATTATATTCTGAAGACAAGCTGAATCTCTTTATTTTTGAGTCCGGTAACTGTTAGAATTAAAGGAGAAAGAATTTGAAGCGACTATTTTTCTATAGCCCATTCAACCCTTGGGGTAAAAAAATGGATATTGAAAAGAAAAATAAATAGTAATGTTGTTGTTTCTTTTTTCAGATGATAACCAGATACTTGGTTGGGGTAATGGCAACAGTGGACAGTAAGTTTGTAAAGTAATAAATACATAGGATTCAGATTTCAGTGACAATAAAACACGGCATGGTCAAGACTAACAGTTTGGAAAAGTTCAATACATATACATGTATACATTTAAAAGCATTAAAATAAATATACGAATATGAAAGTTTTATTTTGATTCGGTTCTCATATAACAATACAAACATAAGCTCTTGAGAGCTTTTTACCGAATATAAATAACATATACATAACATTAAAACACAGAACATGCAGATAAGATATATAAGCAGCAAATTTTTCAAATGCATAGAAACAGCACAGGTATATTGAAATACATGCAAAGCATTACTAAACTACACATCTTAACATAGCAAAACTGAAGCATAACTAAAAACTGAAGCACAACTAAAAATAAAAGCACAAATAAAAAATATAGCACACATGCAAAATTTAAGGCATAATGCAAACATTTAGAGCAATTACTAAAAGTATGAAAAAGCTTATCTACATGCAGAACAACAGCATTTTGAACCATTCCAGGACTGTATAAGGCTCTTAAATTGAGAAAAACTATTTGTAGTCCTGAAATGGTCAGGTAGGCTGTTCCACAGAGTAGCAGCTGCAAATTTAAAACTTTTCTTAACAAACTGTGTAGCTTTTACATGTGGAATATCCAGTATATTACTATATCTGAAAGAATATTTACAATCTTTTACATTTAATAGATCATGTAAACAGACAGGTGCTAATTTATTAACTATATTAAAAGTTTCAATTGCCATTGATCTTTGTCTTTTAATATGCAGTGAAGGCATCTTAGCCTTTTCAAGCAACTGTTGATATGAGCTTGCATGATCTTCATACACAAACCTTAGTGCTCTTTCTTGCACTTTTTCTAATTTTGAGGAATTTTTCTTGGTACAGAAATGCCATGCCAAATGACTTTACCATAAAAGGAAATTAAGGTCAGCTTTGTCCTAGGGATTTGAAACCTTATAGGTAAAAAGGTTTATGAATGAAGATAGCATCTGTCATGTACTAAGTCAATATTAATTGTTGTGGTTACACTGGTATCTTTAAGAAAAAATATTGAAAAAAGGATATATACATTGATTTGAAATACCTAAATCAAGTGTTAAAATGATAACTGTGCAATTCATTAGACACATAAAACTTTTTGCAAGTGGCAAAGGTACAATTTCCGATTTCAAATTTAAAACAAATTTCTTTAGGTTTTCATGGTTTTTGCTGCAAATTAATTTAAAAAAAAAATTTCAATAAAAAATTTTCTTTATGGACATGAGTTGAACCCTAAACCTACAATATGTGTTATTTAAGAGTTATCTCCCATTTTAATAGTTGTTTTTGAAATGCATTCTATGTAAATTGTGTCTTATATACTAATAAAAGAATGAAATTTGAAGAACAAGGAATAGGGATTGGAACAAGAATAATTTATTTTTACCACAAAAAAGTTTGTGTCAACTTACTTTTTTTTTTCATGATCTTTTTTTTAAATGGTACATATGCAAAAAAATCATGTTTAGTCAATACGTTCATATACCACTGGATGTTAAGCAAGCAACAATCTATTAAACCATGTGTTCATTTCATAAACCTTGACTTTATTTTGTTGAGCATTTCTGATTTTATTTTCTTTATAAAACAAGAAATAAGGAAAACATGGCAAACAACAAAAAATTGAAAGTTTTAATAACTGATCTTCACAATTTAATGTCATCAGGTTATTAATCAATAAAAAAAAAGTCATTTAATAGATGAAGAAAACAGCTTCCTTGCTGGTACTTTGACAGAAAAACTCCATAAATTCTCAAGCAAGGCCTCTAACAGGATTAAACTCATTGCCATACGCAATATCAACATTTATCATAGGATGCCGGTGGGTAAATCAAAGGGAAGCATTATATTAATTTTTCACGCTGCTTTTTCATTATGAAATATGTACATTATCTAGATAGAGACTTCCTGTTGTGTGATCATGTCCAAGTTAATATGGTGATGTGCTGTCACTAATTGATCATCGAGATGGGACAACAACTTGCTTAGAACAAGTGATTGTTCATCTCGTGCCAAATAGGGTATTCTGGTATAATATTGGTAAAACATTAACGGAGATGAATTATTATATTTTATCGGCATATGAATTCCGTAGTGTTTCCTAGACTACTCTTTGTGATGGCTTTTCACCCTAGGTTCCACAGAAGTTAATCCTTTGCTAACCATATTTGTACGGAACAATGACTTTGGCCTGACACCTGAAAATTGGATAAATGAGAAAAGATGAAAAAGTTGACAAGGTTTATATGTTAGTAATATCAGAAAATTGGAAAAATGATTGTTCACAGAGGTTAGATCACTCTTGTGTTTAAGTCATCTTAATTTCTTCTTGATAGATTTTTGGAAAACTTTTCAAAAGAGAAGAAAAATTGTTTTAATACAAAGCCCACAATATTTTTAATATAATGTTTTGTAATTCTGCTGACGCTTCATTTGTGGACACTTCAATGACATACAATGTTCTATTGTGTGCTTTATTACAATACGACTGTCTGATTTTAATTTTATCATCAAAATATATTATTTTTTTGAAGAAAAAGGATATCACTTAAAACTATACTTCATAATAATAAGCACAAATTAGTTTTAACTGATATATATATTAAGATATAATCACAAGTTTACAATTAAGTGTTGAATTTCCTTGTAAACATATCAAGTATGTCACTTGCAGAGGTGCACCTCTCATTTATTCATAAATATTTGACTTTTAGAAATATTAATTGCTATAAATAGTCCAAGTGAAGTAAATTGTATCTTTTCAGGTTTTTCAGTTTCACTTTGATTTGATAGATTTTAACCCCCTCCAGAAATACATTAGATATTAGACCATGATATGAAAATCTCACTTATAATTTACTGAAAGAACTTTAATTTTCATTCTCTAAAATTTGTCTTGATTTGATTTTTGCCCAAAACAACATCTGGTTAGCGTGATTGTATTCTTTTGAAAGTTAAGCTTGATTTGACATTGGAATATGGTATGATGTATGATATTTCATATCCATGATGTCATACTATAGCATGAGAAGTCTGACAAGGTTAGGCCTGAGGTTGGTGTGTTGCATCAGTCCATGGTTCCCATCTTTTGCCCATTAATCTCTCTCCTAAGATCTAATTTCCCTTATTTGACTTGCGTCTCAGCTGGGATCAAGTGTTATCGATATACAATTCTGTATCATCTGAACGTTTTGACCTCGGTATGGATTAATATTCTGTGGATATTGTCATAGTTTGAACCTTAAAGGAATATTTGTATTTTGTTTTAAGATACAAAATATTGCAGTGAAAAACTAAACTGGCGATGGCCTGTGGTAATAGACTTGCTTTAGATGGTCTGACATTTTGGTTTTATAATTACATTTGGTTTTATTGTTGTAATTACCTACATGAGTAAGCAAAATAAACAGATTGTCTTTAATTCTTCAGAAATTGATTTTTATTTTGTCATAATTCAGTCTTTAATATTCTTAAATCAAATGCCTTTTTGTTCTTACTGAAGCCTTGACAATATGAAAGTCTTTATTTTGCTAGTGAACTTAAAGACAAAAGTAAGATCTTTTAATGTGTATTAACTATTTCATCATTTCTGACAGCCACATTTTGAAACATTAGCTTAAACTATTTAAAGTCTCATTCATTCCTAGAATAGAATTAGCATTTTTGAATAACACGAAAAAACTGAATATTTTATCCTTATTAAAACATACATTGAATAAAAAATAACAAATATATTTGAATTTTTTTTAACTTTCATAGAGACACTAAAAACTGTATTGATTAAAAATAATGAGATTTTTTTTAACTGAGAAGTGCAATTGTTTAGTCAGATGTTATATCCATATAGTTATGAGAAATAATCTGTCTTGACCCATAGGTTAATAGTATAAAATCGTCTTGTCAAAAACGAGATTGGATTTTTATGGGCGAGGTAATTACTAGGATAACAACAAATTTATTTTTGCATAATACAGGGTAGTCTTCCAGTAATATGATTTGCCCCCAAAACTGTAATCAATAAAATTTGATTCATGTAGTAAAAATTGTTTTATCTCTTTCTGTTGAATTTTGATGATGGAATTATTTTTTTTTACATGTTTTATCAATCAGTAAATAGATATAATGGTATAGGAATAAATTAATGAAAGGAGGTGACAAACAGCAACCCAACAATACAGTAAAACCACAAATACATCTAGTGGTCAATATATGTCCTTCAATGAGAGAAAAATGTCCAAATGTTAAGCTCTGACAGAGTCACTCCAAGTCTAGATGTCAATATATGTCCTTCAGTGAGAGAAAAAAATGTCCAAATGTTAAGCTCTGACAGAGTCACTCCAAGTCTAGATGTCAATATATGTCCTTCAGTGAGAGAAAAAAATGTCCAAATGTTAAGCTCTGACAGAGTCACTCCAAGTCTAGATGTCAATATATGTCCTTCAGTGAGAGAAAATAAATGTCTAAATGTTAAGCTCTGACAGAGTCACTCCAAGTCTAGACAATATGCAATAGTAAGAAACATATGCAACTATCCCCTTAAGATGGGGACCACCCAAAACAGTAAAATATTGTTTGGTAATATTTCCCTCAATGTACTGCCATGCCTGTGAACATATAGTCAATATTCCAATGTACTGCCATGTCTGTGAAAATATAGTCAATATTCCAATTGGTTATAAATCCATTTGTTATAAAATTGTTGTGTGGTGAAAAGCATTACAAAGAAGTCTAAAAACAATTTTGAAAGAACAGATATGCAGAGATTAACTTTTGCTCTTCATACACAGTTTAATAGTCACTTGCTTTCAAATTCGTATAAATTGTCAAAAGATAGCATCAATTCTTATTTCTATAATGTACTTTGAATTGAAAACATGTCTTTAAAGTCATTTTACTATTGTATGTTCTTATTATCTTTAGTTATCTGAACATAAAATTTTTCAAAATTTACTACAATTGCTTTGTGAAGTTTACATCATCTTTGCCAGTTTTAAAGTGTTTTGCTAATGAAAATGAAGTTTAGACCTAAACATTTGATGATTGGTATAATGTCGACAGAACTTGTAACAGCCTGTTTAGATAAATGTCTGAGCACTATGTAAAAGATATATAACAAGAAAAAATACTTCAAGTGTATATTTGGTCTCTGCTATCTTGGTATGATGGTAACATAAGTTACATCATCAGATTCATACAAGTGAATGTAGATAAGGACATCAATCTTAATTCTTAATATTTCTTATATTTGATCTTATTTGCTCTTAAATATCATGTTTGCCAAATATGTAATAACCTTTACATGTAATTCGATCACAGTACAATGTTTTAAGTACTTTTGTGTTTTCATACAAATATATGATTTTTCAGGTGATACATTTTTGTGTGTCCACTTTTTTAACGATATGTTTTTTGTGAAGTGAAAAATTCTGTATTATGGAGACTGTTGTAAAATCTCAAAGTATTTATGTTCTAGAATTTTATATCAATATCATACTAAGTTATCTGATTAAAAATGTGCTAATAGAGATGACTTTTTTATTTAAGGTCTTGTAACTTTCAAAGAATAACTTATTTTTATATTAGTTCATAATCTTAATATGTGTTTGAATATAAACATTTCTGTGTAAAAGTCCTAAGATATGAAGAAATAAGTTTTCACTTGACATATAATCCTACAACGAACATGGTACTATTCAATTAATGTCTACTTAATGGGCATCAGATGGTGCCATTTTACATGTAAGGGGATAGATCAAGATCTCATCAAATGTGCACATTCAAAGGTAACACAAAATATTAGATATAGACATTTGTAATTGATATTTTAATGTCAAGGTAATGTCCTGGCAGTGTATAGTATAATTTTTTTAGAAATTTATAACTTTTAAAATAGTTAGGTGTCTGTTTTGAAATTTTATTTTACTTTGTTTTAATATACTGTACTTCGTGTGTTGCAAGATTTATTTATTACTTCCAATGAAGTTTTGATTCTATGTAAAGTTCTGAAATATTGATATTTCATTTAAACTATATTAGTAATTTCCTTTTGCTGCAATTATACTGCCATAAGGCCCAATGTGACAGCAAATATTTCACATCCCAGACCTGTTCTGTATGGCTGACATTTTTTGTCAAAGTTCCAGCCATTTTTATCATATATTAATTGAACCCAAATCACTTCTGACACAAAGGGCTGAGGTGGAAACTACAATCCAATAAGAATTTGACTTATGACGGAGTTTCCTAATGTCCCACAGTGCAATTTTCCTCGGTTCTGCTACAAATCTGATCTATAAGGTTCCTAGAGACTTGCTTTAGATCATATTAATTGACTTAAGTTGAATTGAGTATTGTGTGAAGGTCTTTAGGTTGCCTCTTGGGCGTTTTGTAAGAATGCGGTAATTTTGATAATGGCCAATGTTCAATTCACGGTGGTGAAAATTACAGAGATTGAATTACTTCTACTCCTGTTTTGTCGCATTTCTCAATAATTAATACACTTTTCAATCTTCTGTAATGAACTTACTTGGATTTCATTTTAACATCGTCGACGACATTTTCTCTCAAACCTGTTATCTAATTCTTTTAGAGTGAAATTTAACAAAGTTAAAGCACATTTTATTCAATTCATCTGGTAGCCTGAGAAATTTAAAGCTTATAAATTTAGACACTTTCACCCCAATGAACCTGCACAGATTAGATGGAATTAAATTAACACTTCTTAAGTTTTTTGTTTCTTTTTATGTAATTTTTCTTTTCTATATGTGCAAGTTATCGTCCCAATACAAAGCACTGGTAAAGTGGACTTTATTTTTGCTCGGCATATTCAAACCTTACAGATTTAACGAAGGTATCTGACCAGTCTTGCAGACCTATGCATCTATATTGTTCTTACATAGCAAAAGTTTCATCAAGGAATTATAGTGCTGTCATACAAAAATGGCTGAAAATAAAACTTTTCATAACATTGCAAAATATGAAATAGAGAAATCATAGAAGGTATTGTTTATTTATAACAGAGTGTATTACTAATTCCCAATGGTGAAAAGTTCAGACACTTTTTTGTTGTAGGTTATGTCCAATATATCAACTTCATTGACATAGGTTCAATACAGATACATTTCTATCTAATTATTATATTAATTCATTAACTTTGTAATAACCTTATCTCCTTAGGGAACTGTGATGGAGTGAAAGGATGATAATTTTAATGTATGGAATTGTGATCCTCATCAAGATTAAATTCAAATGAACATTTTCTGTCATATTATATCAAAATCATAAATGTCATAGCAAATATAATCTTTTCTATTTTTATGCCTGCCTAAAATAGTAGGGGGGATTATGTTTTGCCTACTGTGTGTTAGTCTGCCCATACGTTCCATATCTGGTGAAAGTTTGGGTTTCTCAGGTATTGTTTACCAAGAAACTTTTGTCACATAGACTTGAATCAACTTAGTACACACGTTATATTATGGTTTGAACTTTTATAATCCAAAGCAAAGCATGTTGTTGTCCTAAAGCCACATATTCTTGTTTTAATTTTTTTGGAGGTTTTTTTATATGTAAGGTTTGTCTCATTGAAGTGTGATCATGTCTCATATATTTATTAATATAAATTTGCTGGAATCAAGTGTTTTCTAAATTTGCTGGAATCAAGTGTTTTCATCAGGATTTCTCAGAGTCTAAAATGTAAGTAAAAGCATTGAGATAGAAAGAGTGCAAGCTATCTGAATAGCTCAAACTCTTTATGGTCATTCATCAGGTGTACACTAATCATGACCAATGTATATTTCATTGTGTATAAAGTGTTGAACAATTTCCCTTATGTGTTCTGTTTTAAACTCCATCATTCATCATTCTATGTGGAAGGTGCATCCTGGGAGGTAAAGATGCTTCCATTAAAATTAGATTTCTCTGACCTGTATTTCATGTTTTCTTCACTTCAATTAAGTTTTAGATCTGAGATCAGATTTATTATACCGAGTGACTAAAATCATATCACTTGGTGTAAGGATGACTCTGAGATTATAGCAGCCTTCCAGAAATTTAAGTTACTCTGATCTATGCTTTATGCTTCATTGTTTTACAGTTTGTTTATTTCTAAGATGTTCACATTTAGGTCCTTTTTAACTCAAATTAAACTCATCTTTTAATAACTGTTATTTTGTAAGTTTTATTTTATAAGTTTTATTTTGTAAGTTTTATTTTATAAGTTTTATTTTGTAAGTTTTATTTTGTTAGTTTTATTTTGTAAGTTTTATCAAGCCAGTTTGGGGACATTTGGGGACAGGACAAACTTTGGAATCATATAATACCATGTTCTGTTATATGTTGTTTGACTTTTTCAGACTGGGTAATGGCACAACAGAAACCAATTGGCATCCCAAACCTATCTTCCTACTGGATAACCATAAACCTAATCCACCTATAGCAGGCGTGGCATGTGGTGGCAGACATACCATGGTTTGGTTGACCAATGGCAATGTGTTCAGCTTCGGCAATAACTTCTATGCTCAACTTGGATATGACTTCAAAGAACAAAATTATAAAGAAAATCAGGTAATTTTTCTCAGCTGAAATTTGCAAGCTATAAAAGCTTTTACAGTGTATATTTATTAAAATTTGACGATCATACCTACAAAAAATATGATTGAAATATGTTTGGGAATTTTGTTTATCTTGTACACTAAAGAAAGATTGTTTTATGAAAAAGCCTCACCAAAAATTTCATTAAAGTTTTAAGAAATCATTGTGAAAATGCAAAGGACAAAAGTATTGTTTTTTTATGGTTCATGTGTGTGAATAACACAAAATAACAAAACATTATTTGTTTTGAAGGATTTGAAGCTACCACCATTAGGTAGAAAATATTGTGATAACAACTATGTATATGAGAAACAATCACATCGTCCTGACCAGGTGACAACCAGACATATTTAGTACCCAGAAATGTGTGATTTGCACCACTCTTTACTCACATACTAGGTTGCTTGCAGTTTTTCTTAGTAATGTCACTCACCAAGTGTTTTTAAACCCTCTAATATAAACCTGAAATAATTGAATAATGTTTTTAGACAAAATGCTTACATGTTTGTGTGATGCTTACATAATTGTGTGCAGAATGAGAAACAAAAGGATATTTATATGGCTGCAACAGCCACTTTAATAATTTACATAAAGCTTTTTATTATACGACCGCAAACAAATTTTGGTGGTCGTATATTGGTATGACGTTGGCGTCGTCGCCGTCATTGTCGTCAAAAGACACATTGGTTTTCGCACTCTAACTTTAGTTTAAGTGAATGGATCTCTATGAAATTTTATCACAAGGTTCAATACCACAAAAGGAAGGTTGGGATTGATTTTGGGGGTTATGGTACCAACAGTTAAGGAATTAAGGGCCAAAAAGGGGCCAAAAACAAGCATTTTTGTAACTTCAAGACATAACTTGTGTGTTAGTGTATGGATCTCTCTGACATTGTATCACAAGGTTCCATATCACACAGGGAATGCAGGGATTGATTTTGGGGTAATTGCCTCAAAATATTAGGAATTAGGGGCAAAAAAAGGGGCAAAAAACAAGCATTTTTCTAGTTTCATGACAATAACTTGTGTGTAAGTGTATGGATCTTTCTGAAATTGTACTACAAGGTTCCATATCACAAAGGGAAAGCTGGAATTGAGTTTGGGGGTAATTGCCCAAAACGTTTAGGAATAAGGGGCCAAAAAGGGGCCAAAAATAAGCATTTTTCTAGTTTCCAGACAATAACTTGTGTTCAAGTGTATGGATCTCTCTGAAATTGTACCACAAGGTTCCATATCACACAGGGAATGCTGGGATTGATTTTGGGGGTAATTGCCTCAAAATATAAGAAATTAGGGGCCAAAAAAGGGGCAAAAAACAAGCATTTTTCTAGTTTCATGATAATAACTTGTGTGTAAGTGTATGGATCTTTCTGAAATTGTACTACAAGGTTCCATATCACAAAGGGAAAGCTGGAATTGAGTTTGGGGGTAATTGCCCTAAACGTTTAGGGATAAGGGGCCAAAAAGGGGCCAAAAATAAGCATTTTTCTAGTTTCCAGACAATAACTTGTGTTCAAGTGTATGGATCTCTCTGAAATTGTACTGCAAGGTACCATACCGCAAAGGGAAGGCTGGGATTGAGTTTGGGGGTGATGAATCATAAGGGGGTTCAAAAAATTTGGGGGGGGGGGGGGGTTCCTTTATTTTTCTTTTTTTCCTTTTTTTTTCTTTTAAAATTTTCCATTTTAAGTTGGTCATTTCTGTTTTATATTTAAAAGCAAATAATAATGATATGGTAGGAGATACACACCAAACAGGATGTGTAAATTATTATATAATAAGTATTGTGCAATAGCAAGAAATTTTCAATTGCACAGTATTGCACAATAGCAAGAAATCTTCAATTGCACAGTATTGTGCAATAGCAAGAAATATCCAATAGCACAATATTGCGCAATAGCAAGAAATTGTCAATTGTACAGTATTGCGCAATAGCAAGAAATATTCAATTGCACAGTATTGTGCAAAAGAAGATACTTCGTATAAATTGCTTATTTCTTGAACAATTTCAATGGGGTTTTATTCTTGAATTCTTGGGGTTCTTTAATATGCTGATTCTAACCGTGTATTAAGTTTTTTGATTTTGGGCCCCGTTTTTAAATTGGTCCACATTGAGGTCCAAAGGGTCCAAAATTAAACTTTGTTTGATTTCAACAAAAATTGAATATATGGGGTTCTTTGATATGCTGAATCTAACCGTGTATTTAGATTCTTAATTTTTGGTTCCGTTTTCAAATTGGTCTACATTAAGGTCCAAAGGGTCCAAAATTAAACTTAGTTTGATTTTAACAAAAATTGAATTCTTAGGGTTCTTTGATATGCTGAATCTAAACATGTATTCAGATTTTTTATTATGGGCCCAGTTTTCAAGTTGGTCTAAATCGGGGTTCAAAATTAAACTTTGTTTGATTTCAGCAAAAATTGAATATATGGGGTTCTTTGATATGCTGAATCTAACCGTGTATTTAGATTCTTAATTTTTGGTTCCGTTTTCAAATTGGTCTACATTAAGGTCCAAAGGGTCCAAAATTAAACTTAGTTTGATTTTAACAAAAAATGAATTCTTAGGGTTCTTTGATATGCTGAATCTAAACATGTATTTAGATTTTTTATTATGGGCCCAGTTTTCAAGTTGGTCCAAATCGGGGTCCAAAATTAAACTTTGTTTGATTTCAACAAAAATTGAATATATGGGGTTCTTTGATATGCTGAATCTAACCATGTATTTAGATTTTTGATTTTTGGGCCCCATTATCAACTTTGTCCACATTGAGGTCAAAAGGGTCCAAAATTAAACTTTGTTTGATTTCATCAAAAATTGAATTCTTGGGGTTCTTTGATATGCTGAATCTAACCATGTATTTAGATTTTGGATATTGGACCATAATAGGTGAATGTCCAATTTAAAATATTTAAGTTCTTAGACCACATTCATTCTGTGTCAGAAACCTATGCTGTGTCAAATATTTAATCACAATCAAAATTCAGAGCTGTATCAAGCTTGAATGTTGTGTCCATACTTGCCCCCAACTGTTCAGGGTTCGACCTTTGCGGTCGTATCAAGCTGCGCCCTGCGGAGCATTTTATTTAAATTTTGTTTTGGAAAGCTACTCATCACGGTAAAATATTCCCTTAGGTTTGAAGTTTGTTTGGATGAACTTCAAAACCATTAATTTCAGAAAATGCGTGAGGTGAGGGGGGTAAAAGGGCATCAAAAACGCCAAAAGAAGGAAAAAGTACGATTTTTGGCCATTGTTTCTTAAGATTTAATAGCGTGCGCCTACGTGACCCAGAGAAAATTATGGCGATTTAGACAGCAAAAACAGTTCTCATGACATTGGAATAAAAAAATTCCTCGGTCACGTTGGCGCAGGCACTAAAAAACTAAAAATTAGTTGTACAGAACACCTGCAAAGTGAATAATAATTACAATATTTGAATAATAACAGAAAGTTTACCCCCCTCACCTCACCCAGTTGCTAAAATAAGTGGTTTTGAAGTTCATCCAAACAAACTTGAATTTGAAAAATGAGAAAATAGGGGGGCCAAAAACAGGCCTTATCGTACCTTGTCCTTTCTTACTTACTATGAGTAAAGGATAACTATATATGGTATATGGGATCTTTAAAGGTCTAAATGCTCATCATACAGGGTCACCTGCCCTTAGCCTCAATTCATGGAATTGCAATCAAGGTTAAAGTTTCAGGGTCAATAGATATAAGAAGATGTGGTATGAGTGCCAATGAGACAACTCTCCATCCAAGTCACAATTTGTAAAAGTAAACTATTATAGGTCAAAGTACGGCCTTCAACACGGAGCCTTGGCTCACACCAAACAGCAAGCTATATAGGGCCCCAAAAATGACTAGTGTAAAACCATTTAAACAGGAAAACCAACGGTCTAATCTATATGAAAAAAGAGAAACAAGAAACACTTATGAACCACATCAACAAACGACAACCACTGAACATCAGGTTCCTGACTTAGGACAGGTGCAAACAAATGCAGCAGGTTTAAACGTTTTAATAGGCACCAACCTTCACCCTACCTGAAACAATAGTGTAACATCACAACATAGAAAGACAAACTATAAAATATCAATTGAAATAGTTTAACTCAATCAAAGGACATATTAACAAAAACAAGTGCACATACACTGAACGAATAAATTTAATCTATGACACAATGTAAATACAAAATAATAAAACAATAGGGTTAGATGTAAAACAATATCAGAAAGACAACCATAACCAAAGACAAAATGCCGCAAAATAAAATAACGTACACAGATAAATAAATATAATTTTGTTGTAAGGTATACATGGTGTACGGAAATAATTTTTACAAAATAAATAATTTTGTTGTTCCTAGTACGAGAACAAAAGTGAAAATTTATCATCATACTAAACACTTGTCAAAGGTGGTATATATTAAAAATAGTGAGACTAGATATAACACTGAATAAGTAAACATTAAATTACAAAAATACATTACAAATTGTATCAACAGTTAAAATTAACACGAAAGTACGATTTGAGAGTACTCGCAGTTACTGAAAGCTAGTTAAGGGCATACGATACAGTTTCGATCCCACGATGAATTTTTAACGAAAATTTGCATACAAGCTTTTTTTCACCTTAACGATTCAAATATGTAATAAAAAATATAACTTCATGTGCTACTTTAAGAGATAATTGGGGTCGAAATTTTAGACATTTACTCAAAATCTAGTTTTTTGGGACATTTCTATCCTTTGGATAGACATACCTAACTTTTTTGTTTCAAATAATAAACACAAGCGGATTTTTGTAAAAACATCTGGAAAATCTTCTTTACATAAATATGCGCTAGATTTGTATAGCAGTTCTTTGATAATAATGAATTTTTATCAAAGTTTTAGGATTTTTAGAAAAAAAAACGGCAATTTTTGCTGTAAATTTATCTAATTTTAAAAAATTTCCTCGTTGACTTTTTCATGAAAATTGGTACAAATAATCTTCCTTCGTAATCAAACCAAATGTCATTTTGACTCAACAGGGCCAAGTGATCTTTTTTTATCACTTGACGTCCGTCATACGTCGTTGCCTTCTGTCATCGTCTGTTAACTTTTACAAGAATCTTCTCCTCAGAAATCACTGGGTCAATTTTAATCAACCTTGCTCACAATCATTATTTGGGTATCTAGTTTGAAAAAGTATGTCCGATGACTCCTCATGCCAACCAACATGGCCGTTACTGGCAAAAAATAGAACATAAGGGTAAAATGCAAGTTTTGTCTATTATCTTGAAAACAACTATAGAAAGAGAAAATCTGTCAGAGCCAGAAATGTTCAGAATGTTGAAATTTACCTATTGTCTATTTAAATCAAAACTGTCTGATGACTCTTTACATGAGCTATTGCCCTTTAATGACGATTTTTACCATTTTTTTTTAGTTTTGCCTTTTATCTTAAAAATTATGATAGATAGATAGAAACTTAATGATCAGCCAGACAAGATCTGCACATAAGTCAAATAGCAGAAATCATCAGTCGACTCTTCATTGGAGTAATTGCTCTTTAATTACGATTTTTATCCATTTTAATGTTGTTGTCTATTATCTTGTAAACTATAAAAGATAGATATATACTTTAAATAGCAAAAGTGATCAGCAAGACAAGCCCTTCATATAAGTCAACAAGACCAAAATCGTCAGTAGACTCCTTTTTTGGAGTTCTTCATCTCTAATGATGATATACTAATTTATGCCGTTTTTATACGTCCGTTTACGGGACGTTTTATGGTATACCGTTGTCCGTCCGTCCGTCTTTTGTTTATATCTATGTTTCTGAGTCATGGGGTTTTATTCATTAAAAAAGAGGGATTTTCCAGTTTTCAGACAATAACTCAAAAATGCTTTGAGCAGTTTTCATGAAACTTTGGTGAATTGTTTATATCTATTGACGTGAGCTCTTTTTGGATTTTTATAAATTTTAGATTTTACGTTTCTGAGTTATGGGGTTATATTCATTATAAAAGGGGGATTTTCCAGTTTTCAGACTATAACTCAAAAGTTCTTTGAGCAGTTCTCATAAAACGTTGGTGACTGGTTTATATCTATTAAAATAACCTCCCTTTAGTTTTTTTTATAAATTTCTGATATGACATTGAGGAGTTATGGAACTTTATTCTTTGAAAAAGCAACGAGCGTATCATGTGCTCATGGCGCAGCTCTTTATTGCCTATTATCTTGAAAACTACGAACAATAGACACTTTAAATAGTAAAGATGATGAGCAGACAAGATCTGCAAGTAAGTCAAGTTTTGCCAGAAATCATTAGTAAACATTTTTAAAAATGATTGGCCTTAAATGATGAATATTGTTTTACCCTTTTTTGTGTTTTGGGCAAAAACTAAAGAAGATAGAGAGAAACTGTGAACAGAAAAAATGATCCGCAATAGAAGATCAGAAAAAAAAAGATTTTTGTCATGAGTTCTATTGTAGTTCACAATGTTGGAGAGTGTCCATTAATAAAGATGCACATTGACCTAGGTCAGCTACACAGACTCTTTAGAGACTCTTGTTTTAGTGAAGGACTCTTTAAAAGTACCCAAAAGAACCATTGTAGTTTTCAGATAAACTGTTTGTGACGTAGCCTTAGAGCCTACTCTAGTAGATTTGGAAAGACTTCCTTTTGAACCCCCTATGTTGGTGGAATAAGCTTAGATAAACATGAACAGGGGTTTAAAAGGAAGTTTTGCTGTAGATTTGATATTCCTGGAATCTTTATTTCATTATGTCAAAACCAGCCATGACATATTGGACGGAAAGATCAGCATGATGATACTAAAAAGCATGAAATGCATTATAGAGCTTTGGTGTTGTAAGTTTATAGTATATGCTGAGGGCTTAGAAGTAAGAATCTGATCAGAGGCTATGTTCACAAAATATAGTTCATAGCACAGTTTAACACAGTTTAAGCTAAAATGTGCATGAATATTTTTGAAATTTTATACATTATAATGTGAATATAAAAATATTTTAGATGAAGCGTGTTTTACTGATGATAAATTACTAATTCTTTGCAATGCTAGTGATTGAAGTTGGTATAATGCATTATTGGTGATTTATGTGATTAAATTTGTGAAGGATAATTAAATTAAAAAAAAAATGAGAAAATATATAAAAAGATTTGTAAAACCTGCAGTAGTAACTGTGGTTTACAACTTTTTTCTTTTCAAGTGCCACATGTATGAATCTCTCTAACATTGATATCTTTGGAGAATTTTTGTATGACAGTTAAATATTTTCAGACAAGTCCACATTTACTCAAGTTCCTGGTATATAGACCAGTTGTGCAGGTTTCCTGTGGAGAGAAACATTCTGTGTTCAGGTTTCAAGGCGGGTCAATAGCCTGCATTGGGTGAGTTATAGAAAGAGAATCAGTAGTTCTGTTGAAAGAATGTTAGGGAAGTTTTAGATAAGAATGGAAAAGAGGATGATTTGCTTTTTAACTGGAAACAATACTTTTTTTTACCAAAATCTTTGAAAGATCCTTAATCCATCACACAGCAAATGATACTTGGTTGTGCAGCTAAGTAATGCTATTTGTAGTTAATAAAATATGTTGAAGCACCTGACAAGAGTGCTCTAGTTGGAATTCTGATTACTGTATGCCTTGCACAAGTTTGAATCCACAAATCTTACACTTAACAGTGTTTTCAATCAAAAATATCTGAAAGTTTATAATGGTCATCAATTTTGTTTAAATAAAAGGTAGAATATTAATTCAAAAATGTTCTGTCCTATGCAAAAGTATTTTTACATGTTCTAAATGCTCTGTATTTTTTATGTTGATTTATTTCATTTTTACAAAACTCTTTTTTTATTAGGTGCAATACTCATGGTCAGATTGGTTCAGATAACAGAGAAGAAGCAGTGGTTCCAAGGTTCCTTGATATAAATCAACCAATCAGATTCATAGCTTCTGGTGCTAATCATAACTTAGCTATAACAGGTATGTCAATCAACCAATCAGATTTATAGCTTCTGGTGCTAATCATAACTTAGCTATAACAGGTATGTCAATCAACCAATCAAATTGATAGCTTCTGGTGCTAATCATAACTTAGCTATTACAGGTATGTCATCCTTACATTCTATAGCTGGTATGTTAATAAGGAAACAACAGTACTATATTTGAAGATTTGCAGACATCAATTGATGATTTAATTGTTGCAAACTGAGTTAACTGGCAAAGCAAAAGTAGAGATTGTAAACCAGTTTTTGCAACCATATATAAAGATGAATAGTTTTTTTAAATACATAAAAAAGTTTTTACTTCTTTATTAAAGTAAAAAGGCATAGACTTGCAGTATCTATCAACTGATGGAAACTATGGATTCAAGTATTAAGGATCTTTCTTTAGCTCAGATTATTAGAAAAATCCAAAAGATATAAAGAAGATAAATGGATGCTAAAAGATCAAATAAACGATAACTTTACACTTATAGTTCAAATAAAAGATAACTTTGCACTTATAGTTCAAATAAAATATGTCCTGTAATTAAGTAGAGTTACAGTTCTTAGTATTATATTCCCTACAGTCATTCTAGATACAAGACATGACATTTTATTATTTTATACACACGATTACTTAGAAAGTAAATCAAATAATGGACTTTTTAAATGCTTTTGGCATGTTATTTCTACATCAAGAAAAATGTAAATGTGCAAGTGTGACAGAAAATGCACATTAAAATTAAGATGAAAAATATCTCAGCCAAAGGTATTTTGGACCGCTTGTTTTTTTTTATATACTAGTAATAAACTACATCTTTCTCAGTTGCTATTTGTCAACAAAAATGTAACTTTTTATGAGAAAAATGATAAAGTTATTCCAAAGTATGAAGGTCAAAAGTTAGTAGTTTTTAATTCAAGGGTTACAATTTTAAAGAGACATTACCTCCCCTGATTATTGCCTTACATGATAAAATGACAAGAAGTTGTGGAATTTATGAGTGACCTCTGAACCATTACACCTTATCTTTGTCCAGTTACCTAACAGGTGTCATTGAGGATGACAAAATAGGTGTCACCAAACATTATACACCTGTTTGACTTTTATTTGTCATTTGTCAAGCAAACATTGGTATACCATTTAGTCAACTTTTGTTTTATTACCAAAAATTAACAGCAGATTTACCTTAGTGAACATTTAGGTTTCACGCCTTCATTAATAATAAAATGTTTGTTTTAATGCCATTTTTTATAAATCCAAATCTTCATTTATAATAAAGGTACATATACTGCACTCGGAAATATCATCACATTGTGGCCTAGTAATAAATTAGAACATCTTACATAGAAACACTGGCAAGTCTTTTAACTTTTATAAAACTAATGCTATAAAAGTAGACAGATATTTTAAAGGACAAAAAAACGTGTATTTAAATGCTTGGTTTTATTAGTGCTTTCCACTTTTCCGTGGAAAGACCTTACAATTTTGTTCTGATTATTATTAATTTTTTTTTCATCTTCCGGCAAACCCTTTTCTTGCGGTATAAAGTGGTTTCACAAGATGTGGCTTAGATGTTTTGTAAGAGTTGTCTCCCCAAACAGTTTTTCTTGTTAGTGTATCTCCTCAGGAACCAAAAAAGATAATGACAAAATTCTTTTTCTTTTGGGTGACATATGACTTTGAAAAAGGTCAACCTAAAGTGACCTTGAGTAACCTGGAAGTAGCCATTTTTGCACTTAGTAACCAGAAACCTATTTTTTTCAATAGGCATACATAAACCGATCATTAGACCTAAAGTGACCTTCAATAAAAACTGAAGTAGCCAATTATTACCCTTATTACAGGCAAAAGGATATAGAAATCATATATTTTTTGAATCCGTGGAAACACAGCTATCATATGAGACCGGAAGTGATTTTTTCTAAGCCAGTACATGTAGTTGCAAATTATCTCCCTTTTTCGGGAAAAGTATATAAAAACCATATATTTTTGGAATCTGTGTGAATAAAGCTATCATATGAGACTGGAAGTGACATTTTCTAAACCGGGAGTAGCAAATTATATTCCTTATTTCAGACAAAAGTATATTCAAACCATAAATTTTTTTAATCAGCATAAAGAAACCTATGATTGGATGTCAATAGTAAATTTGAGTAAACCGGAAGTAGCTTCTTATCAATTATTTAGAAAATTAATGTGGAAAGACCTTCAATTAATGTTCTCTGAACAATTGGTTTTTAATTTCTATTGAAATTTTTTGGGTTTTTATTAAGGTCAAGGGCTAGTGTTTACTGTAATGATTTCAGTGATATCCAAGTTAATACAATATTCCAGGTCTCACATTTCAAATCATGAGGGTTCTTAATGGTTTAGTAGAAGTTGCTTCTTCAAAAGTTTTATGGATGCCATCATGATTTGATTGACTGTTTATATGGAATATCTGTAAAACACATGACAAAAGACATATTCAATTTGTTACTGTCTTCTTTCCTCAGTTATGACATCACTGAATGAGACTTATCACCAGACTTTTACTTGTCATGAGCATTGCAAAGGGTGCCAATAGTAGACAGGAACTACTTATCCTTTCAGGGGCACCTGACTTCACCCTGGTATTTTGGTGGGGTTTTTGATGCCCAAACTTAAGGTTTTTATGCCCCACCTAGGGGCATTATGTTTTTTGGTCTTTGCGTCCATTCATCCGTCTGACTGTTCGTTCGTTCGTCCGTCTGTCCCACTTCAGGTTAAAGTTTTTGGTCAAGGTAGTTTTTGATGAAGTTGAAGTCTAATCAACTTGAAACTTAGTACACATGTTCCCTATGATATGATCTTTCTAATTTTAATGCCAAATTAGAGTTTTGACCCCAATTTCACAGTCCACTGAACATAGAAAATGATAGTGTGAGTGGGGCATCCGTGTACTATGGACACATTCTTGTTTTTATTGTATATGTCTTGTGTAATGTTGCTCGTCTATTTTTTTGGGGTTTTTTTTCTGTCTGATTAAATTTGTTTAAAGAATACTTCAAAATTACAAATAACAAAACTCTAGGTGCAGATAGCCTGAGTTTGGCTATATGTGTAAATTCACATTTATTTGTTGTTGAGTACATAATTCTACTAACATAGGATACCCCATGTTTGGAGGACTTTATTGAATCTGCAATTCACGATTCTCAAATGTCAGGAAGTTAAGCATACATCAGTTAGACAGGGGAATATATATGATAGAGAGCAGGAAGAAATATACTGTAGAAGTACATGCGTTGATCACTTCAGAAAAAAGTGAGGAAAAAATATAAACATGAGTGTAGTATAAATGTTCATAACTCATATGATATTATGAAATAGGATAAAAATACAAAGGAATTATATCATTTGTCATCGTTACCCACATTGTACCTCAGTTTTACGAAATCGTACGATGATGATATGCACATAGAAAATGTTTTGTAATAAATATTTAGTTGATTAAGGATGGCATAAATGCATCTTGTTGACACATTTGAAGAGTAAAATAAATCACATATTACGTAATCCCCTAGCAATAAAATAAATAATCTTATCTTATTTACACCCACTGCCCTCAATATTCACAGGTTGTACACAGCTGTACATATTTCTGCATGTTGAAGGTCAAAATGCGTGCTATATGTCATTTGGATAAGTTTGGCTGTCAGCGTTATGTAATCAATGTCAAAATTGTGTCGTGTTCATGTTAATTGGCACTTTATAAGTGAAAATCTGTTTTAAAATTGGAAGGTTCAGAACAGAATTGCTTATAAAACCAAATCAGCAACTTTCGATAGGAATTACTTGAACTATCAAATAAATTACTAATCCCCATATAGTGTTACCTCCCTTGAGTAGGGGCAAGCTAATACTGGGGGACTATTTTATCTACTAAATTGGAGACCAAAGTACAAGTTGGTAAATGATAAGGCCAGGAATTTTAAAAAAAAACTACCAATAAGTTTAGTATAAGTATAATAGTACTTAACTATAATGTTTAGATTTCTATAGAAAGATTTGGGCCTTGTCTAGACATACTATATAAGGTTTATATGATTAATCTCTTGGCAAATATTTGTCCAAACATTTCCTTTAAAATTGAAAATAAAATCATGCTATCTTGGACATCATTGGTTGTAAAATCATAAGAAATCTCCCAGTTAGCAAAACTTCGTAATTCTCTGTTTCTTGATCTGTATTCTTATTTATGATAAATAAATAAATGTCTTTTTCAAGTAATCAACAAATTAATAACTACATCCTGGAGAAGAGTACTTATGTTAATAAACCTTGATTCTTCTTGTAAAGTTTTTGACATGTGATTATACCTATGAAATTGTCTATAATGTCCTGTTTCTAATACTTGTATATCATACATGATTCAACAGTAACATGTATCTCAGTTTTATGATAAATCATCATCTGGTAGAACACAAATTGACCTCAGTTTGTAGAATTGATTTGTTATTTAACTAATGTTTTAATTATTTACAAGATTTTTATTTAAGTGTTAACCACAAGGCCAATAACTCTTTGATCCTCTGTAGTTTTCACTATTGGGTTTGCCACCTGTTTCAATGGAGTTCTAGTTACACTGTTTAAGTTCTTTTACATTGAAATTTGTCATTTAACTGTCTGTCCTATAATATACTGATTTCCAAGGTTTTTGTCGAGCCTGCGACTTCTGTCGCTGAAAGCTCAATATAGGGATAGTGATCTGGCAGCGGCGGCATAAACTAACTACTTAAAAAGTTTTATATTTTAAAACGGGGAAGACCTGGATGCTTCATACTTTGTATATAGATGCCTTATGTTATGAAGTTTTCTTCTGTCATATGTCTATTGTCCTAGGCCTCATTTTCATGGTTCAGTGACTACTTGAAAAAAAGTTTAGATTTTTTGTTATGTTAATTTCTCTCTTATTATGAGTAATAGGATAACTATATTTTAGTGTGTGCATACCTTACAAGGTCCTCATGCCTGTCAGACAGTTTTCATCTGACCTCAACCTCATTTCATGGATCAGTGAACAAGGTTAAGTTTTTGTGGTCAAGTCCATATATCAGATACTATAAGCAATAGGTCTACTATATTTGGTGTATGGAATGATTGTAAGGTGTACATGTCCAACTGGCAGGTGTCTTCTGACCTTGACCTCATTTTCATGGTTCAGTGCTTAAAGTTAAGTTTTTGTGTTATGGTCTTTTTTTTCTAATATCATATGCAATAGGTCAACTATATTTGCTGTATGGAAATATTTTATGATGTACATGTCAGTCTGGCAGGTTTTATTTGTCCTTGACCTCATTTTCATGGTTCATTGCTCAGTGTCAAGTTTTTGTGTTTTGGTCTGTTTTTCTTAGACTATAAGCAATAGGTCAACTATATTTGGTGTATGGAATGATTGTAAGGTGTATAGGTCTGTCTGGCAGGTATCATCGGACCTTGACCTCATATTCATGGTTCATTTGTCAATGTTAAGTTTTCCTGGTTAAGTTTGTTTCTTAGAAACTATAAGCAATATGTCAACTATATTTGGTGTATGGAATGATTGTAAAGTGTAGATGTATTTCCTGTTTGGTGTATCTGACCTTGACCTCATTTTCTTGGATCATGTTAAGTTTATGTGATACTTGTAGTAAAGCTTCATATTTAGGACTATCAACAGAAAATCAATGGTCAGTAAAGCAGGCGAGACATTTCAGCGTGTTCATTCTTGTATAATCAAGGGATTACATTTCAGGAATATTTTTACAGATGTGGCTAATATACTTATAAGATATTAGAACCTCAAGAAAATCTAAAAATCTATTTCCTCCTCATTATGATCACCACCACCATTAGCATTACCATTGATAAAATTGAGAATGGAAATGGGGAATGTGTCAAAGAGACAACAACCCGACCATAGAGCAGACAACAGCCGAAGGCCACCAATGGGTCTACATCCTTGTCACAGTCATCTTCATATTGTTGGGATGTAAATAATGAATTTAAAGCTTAACCCTATTGCAATAGGCCATTCCTGCTTCCTCCACCAATAAAAAAACTGGCTGCCACGGAAGAGCCAATAGTGTTGAAAGGGGCCTGAAACACCAAACATCAATCAAAAAATCCTATTGCAATATCAATTATGTTACCTTTTAGAGTTTTATAATCACCATGCTCAAACAAATATATTACAATACATTTTATTGTAGGTGAAGGTCAAGTTTATCAGTGGGGATATGGAAAATCATGTGGAGACAAGAACAAACATCTCTTGTCACCAACACTGGTGGAAAAACTGTCAAATGTGGTCAGAGTGGCTGCTGGGGCTCATCACAGTATGGCATTAACAGGTAAGTGTTATATCCCTACCATGGGACAATTGTGGTCAGAGTGGCTGATGGGGCTCATCACAGTATGGCATTAACAGGTAAGGGTTATATCCCTATCATGGAACAGTTCTGTTCAGGTAAGTCCTTACCCTTGGTGAAATGTGGTCAGAGTGGCTGCTGGGGCTTTTCACAGTATGGCATTAACAGGTAAGTGTTATATTGCTACCATCAGAACCTGTGCTGGTTGACCCTCAATCCCTGATGGTGCCATTCATCCAGTAACAGGTGCTTTGTTATGTTCAGAATTTAAAGATACAATTTGTCTGCATTGAATTTCCATTTATAAAATGATTTAATAATTCTTAAATAAAGGTTGCAAATAGACCATGGACAGCGTTTCCAAACATTTTATATTTCTGGCTATTTGACTGTTCTTCTAGTCGTCAACTCGTTATAGGTTATTTTTTACGACACCTTATTTAGGGTGCACAATTTCTTTTCAATTTTGGGGGTGGGGGTAGGGGGAAGGTAATATTTAACTAAAAAGGGGACAGGGAAGGAGTCAAATGTTGACTAAGTGGCTGATGGAGTCAGTTAACAGTATGACATTAACAGGTCATCACTACCATACCAGACATGGTCAGAATGGATGATGGTAGGGCCTATCAAACTATCTACTTAAAGGTAAGTGTTTCATTGGGTCTACCTTGGGCCAAATGTGTACATAATGGCTGATGGAGCTTATAACAGTATGGCATAAACATGTAAGTCGCAGCATTGTATTGCCTTAATTAACAGGTAAGTAATACATCCCAACCATTGGTTAAATAGGTTAAATATAAACAGAGTTTTGTCCAATAATGACTCCTCAATTATTGATGTATTATACACCTTGTAGAAATATATATTCTGTATTTATAGAATCTGTACTTCCAGTTGATTATTACCCAAAAAAAAGTATATTTCATTGTCTTTTGCATTGTCTAAAATGAAAAAGTTTTTTCTTGATATATTTGCCAAATAAGTTGGTTTAATTGACAGGTGGTGTCCAAATTAATATGTGTTCTGATTCATGTTACAAAAGAGAACATCATTCTTTTACTTCATTGTAGGATTAAAAATTTCAGCATTTGTATTCTTAAGTAAATGTATGAAACATGTTTTTACACTAGAAAACTATATAAACATCTATGAAATAAAATGTACTTTTATACATATATATAGAAATAAATCCTTTACAAATTTTACATCATATCCTATTGCTCACACTTTGGATTTGCTGGACTTTGTAATTTTTCTTAGAATATTATTGTATATAGAAGATATCAGGCTGATATGATAATTGAATAAGGCATATAATAATTGGAGTTCCTCTGTGTCTTATTTTATCCTAATTTATTTGACAGCTCCATGTTTGACAGATGAAAGCCTTAATCATGTAATGATTGTTATGGTCAGTTATCCTCAAGCCATTTATCACTGACCAGCATGTTTATACACAATGACCATTACCGGTCATTATTATATTTAATGACTGAGCATGTTGCTATTGACCAGTGGTCAATCAGAGAACAAATTCTGTTCAACATTGTGATTGTTGCATTCAGTGTTTTGTAAACATGTTGCATTTTTGTGAAGTGGGCTTTCTGAGAGGGGGTGTCATTATGGGAATTAATTTTCATTTAGAGATAAAATACCCATACATTATACCCAACAAGCTCCTGGACTGTCGTTGACATGATTAGATTTAAATTGAAAGGCTGCGACTTTTGAATGGGGGACATATAACCGTGAGAAATACCAAGGCTTGGAGAAGAATGATCAAATTCAAAGTAGGTTAAAAGTACTGTAGTTTTACACATGGCACAAACTGTGAGAAGGAGTGTGGAGAAGGGATAAAATACCATGATAAACACCATGGTTCAGAGAAAAGGAAACTGAAGTGCTTCAAAGTTCTGTAGATGTAGACTCAGAGAAAAGGAAACTGAAGTGCTTCAAAGTTCTGTAGATGTAGACTCAGAGAAAAAAAATTAATTGTTTTATAGTACTGAAGACTTAAACTGGGAAAATCAATAATGCTTAGAAGAAAGGAGTAGATTTCAATCTTATAAAAAAGGGTTTACACAAATGAAATGAATAGATATGATTGTATGTAGATGTTAAGTGCTAGTATATAATGTTGCTAGGATAATGACCCATCATTGATTAGTAATATTGTAACTTCTGCACTATTTCTTTTTATTTTCGTTAGCATGACAATAAAAAAAAATTATTGTTTTAAACTTTTTGATCAAATTTTTATATGGTTATATAACATGATAACCTTTCTTGATCGGAAATTTCTCTTGTCTGTATGTAGTAAATTCCCAATGATAAAGAATTTTACTGCCTTGAACTCTCAACAGTACTTTAAAAGTTAACTGTCTGTCTTTTGTCTCTTTCATTGAACTTGAACATTGCTGTTATTATGAAGCAATAAACCACACCTGATAGTGTCACCACAGGTGTAACAACTTCTTGTTAGCAGGGTCACACGATCCGTAAAACTTCTTATTAAAAACATCGTAAAAAGTCCTTATAATTAGGACCCGTCACTTCCTAAGCTGCTTAAAACCATCATAGCAAATTATTGGACAGTAAAATAAACACATTATTAGACATTTGACCTTAAAAGGTTGTTTAACAAATTGTTATTTATGAAAGATATTGTGATCTTTTGTGTAAGTTTATGAGCAAGGGTCATCTTAAGTTACCCTCCAGCTTTTTTACCTGGATGATCTCTCATTGTTGGATGTTATATTTGATATCTGCGTTTCTGGCGTAACAAATAAAACATATGTTTTTCCATCGATGGTTATCGGCTAAAGTACATGACTAGTATCATTGTGTACAAGGCTTTTTCATGTTAATTGAATACATTTTATTAATATTTGTTTTGTTGGGCCTTTGAACACGTGTCTCGGTCAGAGATTTATCCATAGATTCTGCATTTTTAACGGGATCAGAATCTTTTGTCAAAAATTAAAGTAGAGATCTCACTGATTATAATTTATTCAATATTTTAGTATGAATTATTCCCCTTTAACTGTTGCTTTTAAAAGTTATTGCAAATGTAATCATATATAAAATTCTGTGATTTATTGTATGAAATATATTAACTTTATTGCAAAAAGTGATACCCTGACTGGTTAAAATGCAAACATAATATACACAAGTGACAAGAAACATACAATACATGTATGGAACAGTTTTTGTACAACCATAAGTTTCACTCCTTTTCTATTGTTTTTCAAGTTTAAATGGTTTCTGAAGTATACAGTGTTTAACTGTTTGCTTCTAATAAACATGCATCAGTCATTTTGTCCTTCTCACCATATACAAGTTAAAGGTATCTTGAAGCTCAATAATGATTTTATATAACTGACCACATACTATATATAGCTAGTTACTGATTTCTGATCTGATCTGTCATTTTGTCTAACTAGCCACAGTAAATTTGCCCAACTTATTTTGATCAACTCACCACATACATGTATCAGACTTCTGAGTCCATCACTTATTTTGATCAACTCACCACATACATGAATCAAACTTCTGAGTCCATCGCTTGTTTTGACCAACTCACCACATACATGTATCAGACTTCTAAGCCCATCTGTGATTTTTCACAACTCGCCACTTACATGTTTTGACTTATGAGTCAAATTTTAAGTTATCTTACCACTTACATGCTACAGACTTCCGAGTCAATAAGTTATCTTACCTATCTTACCATGTACATGTAATAGACTTGTGAGCCAATCAGTCATCTTGCCAAAATCACTGCTTACATGTAATAGACTTCTGAGCCCATCAGTCATCTTGCCAAAATCACTGCTTACATGTAATAGACTTCTGAGCCCATCAGCCATCTTGCCAAAATCACTGCTTACATGTAATATACTTGTGGGACCATCAGTCATCTTGCCAAAATCACTGCTTATGTAATAGACTTGTGAGCCCATCAGTCATCTTGCCAAAATTACTGCTTATGTGTAATAGACTTGTGAGCCCATCAGTCATCTTGCCAAAATCACTGCTTATGTAATAGACTTGTGAGCCCATCTGTCATCTTGCCAAAATCGCTGCTTACGTGTAAACGACTTGTGAGCCCATCAGTCATCTTGCAAAAATCACTGCTTATGTGTAATAGACTTGTGAGCCCATCAGTCATCTTGCCAAAATCACTGCTTACGTGTAATAGACGTGTGAGTCCATCAGTCATCTTGCAAAAGTCACTGCTTATGTGTAATAGACTTGTGAGACCATCAGTCATCTTGCCAAAATCACTGTTTACATGTAATAGACTTGTGAGCCCATCAGTCATCTTGCCAAAATCACTGCTTACATGTAATAGACTTGTGAGTCCATCAGTCATCTTGCCAAAATCACTGCTTACGTGTAATAGACTTGTGAGCCCATCAGTCATCTTGCAAAAATCACTGCTTATGTGTAATAGACTTGTGAGCCCATCAGTCATCTTGCAAAAAATCACTGCTTACATGTAATAGACTTGTGAGCCCATCAGTCATCTTGCCAAAATCACTACTTACATGTAATAGACTTGTGAGCCCATCAGTCATCATGCCAAAATCACTGCTTACGTGTAATAGACTTGTGAGCCCATCATCTTGCCAAAATCACTGCTTACGTGTAATAGACTTGTGAGACCATCAGTCATCTTGCCTATCTAACTACATATTTGTTACAGACTTCTTCCCCTATAAGTTAATTACGGATTATTTGATATTTCCAGCTTAGTTTTCTAATTTTCATAGATTTTCATTAAATATATTGTAGATTGATCAGAGTATTTCAGCTAGGGAATGTGACAAATTTCAGTAGGAGGACTCATTTAAAATCTGGAGCAATGTGCTTCTAGCCTTAAGGTTTATATGCATATCACCAGTCAAACCAAATGTACATTCTACACAGTGGATTGTAGTATTTAGTATGCCCTCGGTGGGCCTCATATCATTTGA